CTAGAGGGAATGAGAGGGAGGGTAGAACTACCAGCAGTGGTCACCTGAAGCAAAAAGAAACTCAGCAGAGGAAACAGGAAAGCCTGTAATTCAAATCCTAAGGATTCAAATGTTATGACCAAATATGGAAGTCTTAAGCCTACCCCAAAGACAGAGAGGGTAACATTTTTTACTCACCAAACCACTTCTAGTGATAAACACTGTTTTTGTTGATTGGAGTACAATTTCTTCCAATATGACAGATAAGATACAAATTAAAGGCATTTTCTTTGCCTTTTTTTCTTCTGAAGTGATTTATAAATGACCAGTGTTCTGCACTTTCATACTCCTTTTTCAGGTGAGAAATAACCACTTTGCACAGTGCTCTGCCTGTGCCACTAGTGTTGGTCCCACAGTAAAACAATTCCGATGATGACGTCAGATACACAATCATCCTTCATATAAGGTCAAAAGTACACTTTTTGAATTTTATTGGAGGTTTTGGCTCCTTCAGATTGGAGATTAATCTGCTGACAACGTCTAAAAAGGTGAACATTATTTCTATTGGTTCCTTCAGGTAGCTCATGCTAGCATGTGAATCTATATATTTCCTCCTTTGTAGTCATTTGTGAGATACCAGAATGTCCAGCCGGAGTTTTAGCTAGGCAGTGCCTGGAGAGTGAAGTTTCGTCTGTCTGTGGTCAGGATGGCAATAAAAGGACTTCTTTCTGCTCTAGTGCTGTGGCTGATTCTCCTCTCCATTCAGGTCTCCCTGGGTAAGCACATGCTTTATTTTGCATAAGGCAGTGAGATTTAAAAAAAGTATGCAAATTTAATAGGTTGGTGTTCTACCAACCTCTAAAGCAAAGTGACAAAATGGTGTTTGTTCTGTCTTTGATTCAATCTCCATGGTAATCCCGAGATAAGCAACGGTAAGCCTTTTCTAAAAGTTTGGTATTTTACTCAGGTATCAGTGACTGGCCATTCTCATAAGCATTCAAGTCCAAATTTGTAAACAGTTTAGCTATACTAAAAACCAGCTGGATATTCTTATTACTGTCTTATCTCTCCTGCTGAACTATTTGTAGATAGAATTAATGGTTCCAGGTCTTTGTCAGCACCGTTTGAAATGATGTAGCCTTACCGTATGAGTCCAGTGGAGTTTGGGTATCACCATATCTCCTCAGTTGTTCCTGTCTATCTGAAGCTTTTCACTATTTGTCTCTCTGCACTTCTGGAGCTATGTGTACATGGTTGATGCTGGTGATGAGAGACAGATTTGGGAAACTTCATTTTTTTCTCTCTACACATGGAGATGACCTTAAGGCATTGCGGTGGTGGTCGCATCCCCATATGATGAGAACAAGACTTCAGGGTTGATGTTTTGCTATAGCATGGCCCTGAACCTTGAAGGTTCTCACCAATTGTGTGGATGCAGTCAGAGTTCACATGGCACTCTTGACATACATTTTCATAATATGAAATGTTTTTTATTTAGACACCTTTGTAATGACATTTTAGTGTCAACTGATCTACTGCAGAAATAAGATTGACTTTTCTGCCAACTCCTTGTTAACATCAGGGAACAGTAACAGACTGACTGGAAGATGCAGATAAGAGTAGCTTTACAATGACACCACTCTCAGCACCCTACCACCCTCATCTCTGATCTGGCAGCACTTGCACTCTCCATGCTGCTACAGGAGTTCTGATGTCACCCAGGCACAGAGCACTGTGCGGAGCAGTGCAGGAGTCATAACTCTCCAGGCGAGAGCTGAAAATCTGTCCCTGAGGCAGCCAGCCTGTGCTGGAAACCTCCTCCTAGGGCCTGGGGGCAGGAATGCATGGTGTACCCTCATCTTTGCCTATGAGAACTGGGTTTTCAGCTGGAGCAAGCAAAAATCTCATGCCTTCTCAGCCAAGCAGAACACCAAACCACTGAATTCAATGAAGGTACTTGTGGGATGTACTGTGGAATGTGAAGAAATACAAAATTGTACCTGTACGTATCATAAAAAATTCACAGAAGAGTGATTACAGCAAATGATAGCTTTTATTAGGAAATATTTAAACCTGTCCATTGGGTTATGCCTACCTCTGCATCCAGTCTTGTATGCTGGTACACATTGAAAACATCAGATGTACAATTATGTAAAATTCAAGTGCACAGAGGTCATACAGTTGAGTGAAGAGTGGTTTGTTTTATTCCTGGATGTGGCTAATAGGAATTGGATATCTGATTTGTTTAAAAATGTATTAGGAATTTAACTTTTCTTAGAATCCATTACCGTTTTAAAAGTATAAATATTATAGCTAAGAAAACTCTTTTTTTTTGGACTATATTCTTCAAATATTCTAGGGGTTGTTCTCCAGAATATCTCTCTAGAGACTTACAAGACTTATTACAGAAAGATTATGCCCCCTCTGAGACAACATGTTGCAGGCACAAAGTGGTATTCTAGTTACCTGAGGATTGTACTACGCATGTGCCTTTTTACTCAGGAGACTTGAAGAGAGAGGATATTTTGCAGGAAAAATAGGTTTTGGAAGTTACCAATTGTCAGTCACATGAATAACCACCTTTTTTTGTTTGTTTGTTTCCAAATTTAAATGATAGGCAGGAAATTGTGAGGAAATCCAGCAGTGTTAGCAAAGAGGTAAAGCCTTTGCCTGTGTATGAGAGGTGATGATGTGTCAAAGCCACATTGTCTGTGTGTGATGAAGCAGTTACAGACCACATGAAGATGGAGGCAAAATTGTCTCCCAACTGACTACTGCTAACATTTTACTCTGCAATAAGAAATGAAACAATGGTTAGTTTTGGAAAGAAAAGGCTGCATTAGCACCAGCTCATGGGTTAAGACTGACACACTTGCAGTAAGTAGAGGGAAGAATTAGATTTGTTTCCAAATGCAAAGAAAAATTAAATATTCTCATTTCACAATGTCAGACGGCAGCAAGGTGTGTGATATCTAGAAATGCTTCTCTCTTTTGAGGAAGAGGGGAGGGTGATATTTTACATAAATAATTGTTTTAAAAAAATCTTACAGGAAAACCTAAGGCTCTTAATGCAAATTATCTTTTGTTGCTTATCAAAAGCCATCATTGATAGGAGATGATCTTCCTGGGCTATTTGTAAGGTTTGCACAGCTGCACTGCTTTCCATCCACATCAGTGCCCAGTGCTGAGTCTGGATGAGTACTTCAGGTTTCTCTTGGCACCTGGTCCCTGTGGCTGTGAGTGCAGATCAACAGGGCCCATGGCCAGACATGGCTGTGCCAGCGTGGAACACAGATGCACCTCCCACATAACACAGGCAGTGAGAGAAGGTCCAGGTCTGCACTGAAATGGGCCCATGGGCAGAGCATGCAGGTGGAAAACCTAGGTAGGGAAGGCCAAGGTCATTAAGGATTCTTAGTGACAATTGGATCGAACCTCTTCTATAAATGTTTGCTTTACTATTCCCTGGTGTGTCAGGTCTTGAAACAGTGAAAATTTGTGACCGAAGTTATTAGGCTTCTTATCAACTGTCCTGTAAACCACCTTAAATTATGTGGTCAATCCAAATAATCCCCCAGGCCCAAAAGAAGTTGCCATCCCTCTTCAGGGATTTATCTGTTCCATAACATGCTGAAATGCAAACCTGATCAAACTGAAGACAAAACTCTGGCGTAGTGGCCAATTTCTTCATGTTTCCTTTGCACATTTAGCTTGTAGTCTGTCCTTAATCTGGGAATGCAAGAGTCCTGCATGTAGTTTTTTACTATTTGATTTTCCACCCATTTCATGAGCATCCTCTTTTATGCTTCAAACAGCAGTGCCTTTGATCCAGCTGGTAGCATGGCTAACTTTTAGTCCAAACAGTCACACTTCTGTAATACCTACATACAAATACACACCCACACACACCGCAGCTGTACCTGGCTGCCCACACAGATGAAAACATGTGACATGTGACACGTTTGACACAAACATAAACAGCAAGTGGCCTTGCAATTATCTATCTTAACTTCTCTAAGGCCTCTGACATGGTCCCACACAACAGCTTTGTCATTAAATTGGGCATATGTAAGTTTGTTGGATGGACTAGTCAATGGATAAGAAATTGGCTGGATGGATGCATCCAAAGAGTTACAGTCAATGGCTCAATGTCCAAATAGAGATCAGTAACAAGTGGTGTCCCTCAGGGGATGGGAACTGTTCAAAATCCTTACTATTGATATTGGTAGTGGGATTGAGTTCACCCTTGGCAAGTTTCCGGAGGACACAAGCTCAGTGGTGCAGACATTGAGGAAAGGAATGCTATCCAGAGGAATCTTGACAGGCTTGAAAAATGAGCCTCACCCCATGAAGTTCAACAAGGCCAAGTGCAAGGTGCTGTACCTAGCTCAGGACAACCATCAGAATTGTCATGGACTTGAGGATGAATGGCTTGGGAGCAGCCCCATGGAGAAGGACTTGGGGATAGCGGTGGGGACAAACTGGACATGAACCAGCAATGTGCCCTTGCAGCACAGAAAACCAACTTTGACCTGAGTCTTCAAGTAGATCCCCTGACTTTATCACCTCTCCAGTAGTTTGATCCCTCTGGTAGCCAACTCCTCCCGCTACCTCACTCTCAAACACACACAAACTTGGCTTTCAGGCCAATTAACTCACAGGATAATGAAGCTTGATCTGCTGTAGCAATCACACACTAACAGGCAGTCACCTCACCCACTCCAGTTGCCAGTGTTTATTATGGCAGACTTTGTGAATCACAAAGCAGGGACATTACTCGGCATTTCCCAGCCCTGATAAGCCAGTAGCAGAGAAAGTTTGCCTGTCATTAGAAATAATTTACATTTTAGCAGTGCAGTTAGCTCAAACTTGTAAATACTGACATAACTTCTTGCAAAAAAAAAAAAAACAAACAAAAATGCTCTTTAAGTTGGACTATTTAGAAAGATGAACCAAACAGGCCTGATGTAAGAGTAAATTAAGAGCAGTAATGATCTCATTAGCATCTCCAATCAACAATCATGATTAAGCTCTGTCCTTTCTATATTCTTGCTCTGTCTGAAGGCACTGATGAATTGAGGCTGTCAAATGGAACTGGCCCCTGCTCTGGGAGAGTGGAAGTAAAACATGAGGAGCAGTGGGGAACTGTGTGTGATGGCGACTGGACCATAAAGGATGCTGAGGTTGTCTGTAAGCAACTGCAATGTGGATTTGCTGTTAAGGCTCTAAATCGAGCTCATTTTGGACAAGGAACTGGACCAACGTGGTTGTACCGAGTTGATTGCCATGGTGATGAATCTGCTCTCTGGAACTGCTCACATACAGGATGGGGTTCTTTTACCTGCCCTCATTACTTTGATATTGGAGTGGTCTGCTCAGGTAAGAAGTGTTCCAGCCTTGTATAACAGAAAAAATATATGAGCCTGGGATCAAACTTTGTCCTAGTTGGATAAAGCCAAGTACTCTCTCTACTCATCCAAAGCAAGTTTTTCCAGCATTTAGTCTTCTGCTGACTATGAGTGCAAGCCTGGGCACAGCAATGACATCATATGAGCATATTAAATTACATAGAACAGGAAAAAAACCCCAAACATTATTTGTTTCTACCACAGCTCTCCCAGGCAACAGGAGAGCAGTACTGAACTTGTCTTTTACAAAGAATGGGGGCTAGAAAAGCAGGTGTAGGTAGAGAAGCAAGAAAATGCAATGTTATGTCATACAACTGACCTTCTCCAGATCCTCAGGTAGGCTAAGACAGGATAGTCTGCAATGGCAAAAAAAAAAAAGACCAATATCTGTTTCATGACTGCTTCCTATCCAAGATGTGCATGGTTTTGCTCTTTGGAAAAAGAACCACTGCAAGAAGTTTTTCCTTCCAGCTTCAGGACTTTACATTTGTCGTTTTGTGATTTTTGTAAGGTTCCCATTAGTCTAGCCTGTCTGGATCTCTCTGAATAGCAGCTCTACCCTTGTGGTGATGTCCCCATCCCTCCAAAATCATAAGAGTGTACTCCATCACTACCTTCATGAAGATAAGACACTGAGCAGAACAGGCCCCTGGAAACACCCAACAAGTGATATTCCATTTGCTGACAGTCTTCAGATAGAGTCCAGCTCACTAATGACTGAGCCTGACCATTCAATCAGCTGCTTAACCATGTTGTCCTTCCAGCCAGACAGCAACATCCTAGTTCTTGGACATAAGAATATTGTGCAAGATAGTGTAAATGACATGTACTGCTGTCCCCTCATCCATAAATCTATTTTAATCAGAAAAGCATTACAGTCCCACAGGCATGATACATGCTTGATAAAACCATGCTGACTCTTCCCATTTATATCCTTGTGCCCACAAATGAGTTTCTACAAGTCTCATTATATACTTTTTTCAAGTACCAAAGTGAGGCTGGCTAGCCTGTAGATCTCCAGACTGTCTTTTTAGCAATTTCTGAAACTGGGTGCAGCATTTCCTGTTTCCACTTCCTGGGGTGCTTCAGCTTCCTATTCCTTGAAATAATGAAATCTCAAGGACACAGACCAGTAAAATTACTATTTGTCTGTTATATATTTGGGAATTGCTACTTCTCAGTCATTGGCAGATATTCAAAGCTTCCTTCCTTCTTTCCCAAGGATTTTGTATTTTCACATACTGAGAAATAAGCAATCTCATACACCATTTTGTTCTTTATCAGTGTTATACAGGAATTGTCCCAGTCACAATTCAAAAGTATCAGTGGTCCTCAGAGAAGTGAAATGTGTCTTGCTTATTAAGGTACAGGACTTATAAAAATAGGTCAGTACAACCAACCCTTGATGCTGGATTTCTTGTTTTTTGGGGTTTTTTCAGGCTTTTCTGATCTGCGTCTGACTGGAGGGGACACTGCCTGCTCAGGACATCTGAAAGTAAAGAAAGAAGAAACTTGGGCCACTGTCTGTTTCTCACACATTGATTTCAAAACTGCCTCTGTTATATGTAATGAGTTAGAGTGTGGCCATGCTGTGGATACCTTGAGAGGAACTCACTTTGGAGACAGACATGAGCTGATCTGGGAGGAAGAGTTTCACTGTGTAGGGAACGAGACTCACCTTGCAGACTGTCCCAGGAATATGCACCACACTAACACGTGCTCTCATGATGCCACTGTTGTGTGTTCAGGTGAGATTTTAGATTGATGGACATTATTCACCAGTGTCCTATATGTCTTCTTCTTGTTAGCCCACAGTTCAGAGCATCTGTACACTTCTGTGGTCCTCAGGATCCTTGGATGCTTTGAGCCATTCCAGAGGGACTAGAAAATAACAGAGCAGCCCCGCAATGTCTCATTCACCCTACTGAAACTCTGCATCTAACATGGGCTGTTCTAATCACTACCACACAGAGATCTCAAAAGGGCTGTTATTTATTTTATGCTATTAGAAATATGCACTCAACAGTCCTAAGAATGTTCTACACATCCTTCTCTTATAAATAAAAATAAAAATGGCCAGACCCAAAAAGCAGGAATATTGAGACATTAATTTATTTCCTGTGGTGCCAGTGTGTATGTTAATCACTGGCACTTCAGTTAATTATAAAATGGGAACAGGTACCATATCTTCAAAAGGCTGAAGGAGGCACAAGTTACAAATGCAAGTTATTAAAAAAAAAAAAAAAAAAAAAAAAAAAATAAAAAAAAAAAAAAAAAAAAAAAAAAAAAAAAAAAAAAAAAAAAAAAAAAAAAAAAAGAAAAAAAAAAGGAAATAAAAAGAAAAAAATGTTGCCAGAGGCCTAGATGATTTTCATTGAGACTGGAAGGTAACACTTTTTTCCTGAGGCCACAGTTCTAAAGGGGCAAACTAAACCTGGGGCAGAGCTTCTGGCAACAGTCAGACACAAGCCTGGAACAGGACTGGAGCTCATGACCATTTCCTGTCCAAAGGGCTTCAGTCTGTTTCAAGACTGCTTTGGACACTGTGACCAGTGGCAGCCCAACTCCTCAGTTAATGCTTCTAGCAGGCCTTGGCTCCTGCCTCTATCTTGCTAGTGTCTCAGCTTAGAGCTGAAATCCTGGGCTCATCAGGGGTACAATGCAAGGACAAGGTAAGGGTAGAAAGTAACAATGTGAGAGGATGGAGGGACTGCATGGGGCTGGCAGTAGGACACCACAGTGCCATCCATGTCACCCTTAATTTATTGTCAGTATTCTGATGGTTATGGCCTGGGGTGTTCAGAGCCTTGCTCTGGGGCATGGATGAAAGCTGAGACTTCCCCACTGCAGTTTCTACTTACCAGGAAATGTAAACATGGCCAGCTACTGGGGGAGAGAGTGATACCAGTTGCTCCTACCCTGAGTTCTCCACATGTGAGGCAGTGCTGAAACTGCCTCTGCAAGAGAAGATGTTATAAGGAAGCAGCAGTATTGTGAGGGGAGGAGAGAGCAGAGCAAAGAGGAGACACTGAACTTAAAGAGTCAAAATCTTTTAGTCATATAGTGCAGGTTACAACATGGACAATAGTGACTTTTTTTCATAGCTGGCATCCTGTTCTAAGATGCTTTCCAGTAACCTGACATGTGTGAGTGCTAGTTTCTTGCAGATAGAGAGATCTCTCTTACAGTTTTCAGTGCAGTAGCACAAAAACCCAAAAGTAACTGCTAAGCTCCTTTATTCTTTCTGCAGGCTACGGTGGGTACCGGCTGGCAAATGGCAATACCACATGTTCAGGGAGAGTAGAGCTTCTTCACGGAGGCACGTGGGGAACCCTGTGTGACTACCTGTGGGATTTACCAGCTGCCAATATCCTCTGCCAGCAGCTAGACTGTGGAGTTGCACTACTGATACCAAGTGGACAGTCCTTTGGGGAAGGAAGTGGATCTGTCTGGAATGCCACATTCAGCTGCCAGAAGAATGGCTCGCTCCTGAGAGATTGTCTCGTGCGTGCTCTAGGTCAGGATGAATGCCCCGCTGGAAAAGAGGCTCGTGTGGTATGCTCAGGTGAGCAGTGGAAAGGTCTAAGAAGAGAACTGAAAAACTTCCTTGAGGAAAAATACGGATTCAAGATTGAGAGGGCGTATGTTGGGTCAGGCTCTGTCTTTTGGCTGCTGCAACAGGAGTCAAGGTTTCATTTCAACTGTACCACAAGGCTGCTCCCTCTAAAATGCTCCTAGTGTCAGGTAAGAGCAAGAGCAGGGCTGCTGCACAAGCCAGGATAATCTGGGCACAGAGGCTGAGCACAGCACAGGCAGAGTCCTTGCCACCAAGACACAATCCAATGCATCTGCAGAGAGGACAGAGGAAGGTATTGGTAATAAGTCTATGAGCAGTCCCAGACAAGTCGAAGCAAACAGAGGTGTAGGGTCTGGCTGGGGAGAACAGCCAGGCATAGCATGAGACAAGACTGGAGACAGTTACACCTGTCATGTGCTTGAGGCAGGGACTGAATTCCTGGCCCAGGTTTAAGTGAGGACTTGGACCAGCAATTGAAGGATGCAGAGCTGTAGGCCCTCAGTGATATTGGTCTGAAAAATTAAGGTCTATTGGTTGACCCAAAGCCCCAAAACCTAGTGCCCTGATTTTGAAAATTGCAAATGGGGTGTGATCCTGAGTTCTAGTCATTCTTATCAGTAAAATAGGCTGGACTGAAGTCTAGTTATGAGTATTGAAGTTTCTAGTCATGAGTATGGGCCAGTTAAGTCATTTTTACTACTGAATAATAAGGAAAACTCATTCCCATTTTCCAGTCACTTCCAGGTCCTGCCCATGAGCAAATGTAACACTCCAATATTCTCTTTCTCTTACATTCAGGGTGTCCAGGGGCCAGGCTGGTGAATGGCACTACGTGCTCTGGCATAGTGGAGGTCCGCCATGGAGACAGGTGGGGAAGACTCTGCCACTCCCACTGGAATTTGCAAGCTGCCAGTGTTCTCTGCCATCAGCTGAACTGTGGCTATGCAAAATCAATCCAGATGGAAGACCGTTTTGTGGGTGGAAATGGGCCTATATGGAGAGATGCTTTTCACTGTAAAGGGACAGAGTCCTGCCTATGGGATTGTGTTCAAGTGACTTTGGGCAATCCAACCTGTTCAGCCAAAGAAGTAGCCACTGTAACCTGCTCAGGTAAGACAGGAGTGGCCTTTTATGGGTGGTGCAACTTCAGACCAAAGCAGTGCTGGTGATCTCACTGACAGGATCTAATCTTTGAGGTGGGGAATCCTTTCTTGGTTCCCATTGCAGGCCCTTGCATGCATGAAAGCAAACAAAGTCTTAATGGGGGAAGTGTCCTTAATCAGCGGTGGGAATTAATATTTTGCCAGCACAGAAATATGTCTTTCATAACTTTCCTGCAAGTTATTTCTACTGCAGTGAGATAAATAGATGTCACTCAATGTATTTCCCAACTCTCTTGAGCCCAGGTCTTGCTGAATCACTCAGACTCTCAGGAGGTGAGAGCCGCTGTGGTGGGCGAGTTGAGCTCTCCCTCCATGGTGTGTGGAGCAGAGTCCTGGATGATGACTGGGACATTAGGGATGCCCATGTGGTGTGCAGACAGCTCCAGTGTGGAACTGCTGAGAAAGCCTATTACCTTCCAAAGTCTGAGCGAGGCATGGGTCTTGTTGGCCTAAGGAGCGTCCAGTGTACTGGAAACGAGACTCAGCTGATGCTCTGCAACACCTCCCATTATCACACAGTGCCTACAGGAGTTTCTGAAGACGTTGGTGTGATTTGTTCAGGTGAGTCGCTGTGTGAAAGGTACAGAATGTTTCCTGGGATTTCTCCAGCCCACGTTGTGCTGTGGTGTCACAGATCTTAAGGTGGCACAAGTCTGAGCTTGATGATAGTTAAGGAAGCAAATGTAATTTATATAATTCTTTCTTCATCTGAATTTCTTACAGAATTATCTTCCAGAGTCAAAAAGAACTATTAGAACACAGAAGCCATAAGAACACTAATTTGGCTGTGATTGCCAAGCATTCTTACTGCCACTTGAGAATTAAATAGCTTTTATTTTGTGACATTTCTATATTTATGGATATTTGCAGCTATTCTACAGAATATTACAACTGTTTCTACTCTTCTCTGATTTTATAACCCATCTGTAACAGGAACAGTATCTGTCTACACCAAAATGAGTATAGACAGAAAACAGATTGTCTGGCTTTCTAAGATAAGGTGACCTCTGCATATACTTGGTATGATTATACACTTCTTGCTGGCAATTTCTCACTGGAATTATTCAAACATTCACCTGGTGCAGGAGTAGGCTTTTTCCTCATGCATTTTTAGCCTCACAGGACTTCTGCCCAAGCAACCATAGCAGAAGCATTGGGATATAACAGGAACATGTTGTCTTAAAGGTACTTTAAAAATATTGCCATTATGCTGACCTGTGCATTATAGTTGCGTTGCATGTTGACAGCTGGATTTTCTTCTTACAGGCAGCAGACAGATGAGGCTGGTGAATGGAACACACCGCTGTGCTGGGAGAGTAGAGCTTTATCATCATGGCATCTGGGGCACCATCTGTGATGATAACTGGGATCTATCAGATGCCAATGTTGTTTGCAAACAGCTTGGATGTGGGCATGCCATCGAGGCATTTGTCTCTGCTCATTATGGTGAAGGGTCAGGGCAGATCTGGCTGGATGATGTGAATTGCACTGGGGCTGAGTCTGATCTCTGGACATGTCCCTCTAGGGCATGGGGCCAGCACAACTGCCAACACAAAGAGGATGTTGGAGTCCTGTGCTCAGGTGTGTTTGGAAAACCCTTTTCTGAGCCTGTGGGTTCAAACAGGAGAGTTGTATAAAAGGGAAGTTGAGAATAGTGGGGACTTGCTTGGACAGCCTCCTCCTGTCTTGACAAAGCACGATTGGGCAGCACATCTTCTTGATGCAAAGGATATATAAAAGCCCATATTATGCACACAAACACATACACACATGCAAAAGTCTGTGGTGTAGTAGAATATTTGGGGGATAAATTTCAGGAGCTTGTAAAGATTTCCACAGCAAGGGGCTGTGTGCTCCTTCCAGTCGGCTACAGCTGCCTCTGAAACCAGTGGGAACAGCCCACTGTGCACTACAGCATTGGACCATCCAAGTAGCTTATGGTGGCTCTACTCATGCATATTTAAGACAGAATGGCAGCAGCAAGAGAGAGAAGAAATGAAAGAGAAGTGGAAGAAACCACAGATGACCCTTGAAGGGGGTTAGGGCCTGTTAGGGCCCATGTTGGAGCAAGAACAAAGCCTGAAAAGAGTGCAGCCTCTGGAGTATCCATGCTCCCCAATACAGGTAGAACCAATCCAGGTAATTAGCACTGTAACAAAAGTGTTATTACACAGGCAGGAAAGAAACATCACAAGAAGTCTGTGGCACTACTTTCATTTTTATGCCTTCACTTGCAGATTTCCTGTCTCTGAGGCTGGTGAACGGCAATGACTGTGCCGGGCGTGTCGAAGTTTTCTACAACGGGACGTGGGGGAGCGTTTGTTCCAACCGCATGTCCCTGCTCACCGCAGCAACCATGTGCAAACACCTGGGCTGCGGAGACGGAGGAATCGCGACCGACTTCCAATACGGCAGAGGGTCTGGGCCCACGTGGCTGGACCACATTGAGTGCACTGAGCAGCACAGCTCGCTCTGGCAGTGTCAGTCAGACCCCTGGGATCCTCAGTCGTGCAATAACCGAGCTGAAGAGACCCATATCACTTGCACTGGTAATCAGAAATGTATTTGTATATGGCCAGACATGTACACTTGTTATCTGGTGTGTATTATTTCTAGTTTCATGAAAATGGCAGCATTTTTTTTTTTTTTGTCTCAATGAGTAAATTAAATGAGTGTATTAAAATTACAAGATTATCAGAGTGCTGTGTCCCAGTGAAATCCTAAGGAATTCCCTAATAGGATGATGCCATTGCATATTTTTAATGCAAAAATCTACGATACACAGTCAGTCTGTGAGATGTGAGCTAGGATGAGATTTTCCAAGAGGTCTAGAGCCACGTCTATGTTTCTGCAAGTAGGGAGGTGTATCTGTGTGGCTATACACGTAGCTATGGACCAAGTGTACAAATCAGTTTGGTTGTAAAGGTCCAGTTCTAATGCCTGCTCTTAGGACAGTATTTCACACCTATGAGTATCAATATCTGTATTCATATATGTATATATTCAATGTAATTTAAATTAATTCTACATGATATTCAGATATCCTGAAAGGGATTGCAGCTGCCTCATGAGAAGAAGGAAAGCATAACCATCAGGAAGATTATTACTCACAGCAACAGCCAAATAGCCATCCACCAAGAACTAAAACAGGCCATGCATATATTTCAGGAAATAATTAACCTGATGGTTAATTTTCAGGTATTTTATACTCCCTATTTTTTCAGAGAATAATTAAATTATTTACTTTATTATTTAATTTCTGCAGGAAGAAAAGAGACAACATCTCCAGCTGCATTTGCTGAGTGTCCAAACTCCACAAGTTGTTCAGGTACCTCCACCTCTTTGTTTTTCCTTACTCATCCCTGTGGACCTTCCTGCTGTTTCAATACAACAGAAGGTTTCTGTGTTTTGCAGACAGAGAGAAGTTACGAGTCATGGGAGGAGAGGATGAATGTTCAGGCAGAGTGGAGATGTGGCACCAAGGTTCCTGGGGAACAATCTGTGATGATGCCTGGGACATGGCAGATGCCAATGTTGTATGCAGACAGCTGGGCTGTGGATCTGCTGTGTCTGCTCTGAGGGAGGCTGCCTTTGGAGAAGGGACTGGTCCCATCTGGTTGGAGAAGGTGCACTGTAAAGGAACAGAGCTGTCTCTTTGGGACTGTCCTGCCAAGCCTTTGTTTGGCAAAAACTGTGATCATAAGGAAGATGCTGCTGTGAACTGCTCTGGTTAGTGATTGGTGCTTTATTACACAGGTCTGTGAAGGAGGTGGGTAGGGGAGCATTATGCCAGCTGTACTTCCCAGTGATTAGCCCTTTCATAATTTTGAGTGCTAAAACATCACAGATTTTATGAAGACGTTCTCCTTATTTTTCACATTTGCTTCTTCCTTAATCTGGATTCACCTTCCTTTTGCAGGTGTGACAGAAACAACAGCATCACCCACAAGAGCAGGTAAATTCTTTCTCTCTTTTCTTTCTCCCATCAAATGACACCTTAATGTCCCTAATACTTAACAGATAAAACAGCAGTTTATTTCAGCTCATCAGAAAGCACTTCCCACAACCTTTCATGAAGGAACACTGAGTGGCACCACCTCCAGCTGCTGAACTTTATCTGCTTGAGCAGGACCCATAGCAGAGCAGCCAGTGCCCTGCCTCAGCCTGCTAGGGTGGGCGCAGCAAGGGGCTGCACAGGTGCAGCCCTTTGGTACATGTGATTTTCTACCTGTTTCCTCTCTGTTTCCACTCAGATCGTCCCCGCCGCCCTGCCACAGGCAGTACAAGGCTTTCACTGCCTGTCCTCCTCTGCATTATCCTGGGGACCCTTCTCTGCCTGGTCCTTGCCATTCTTGCTGGGCAGATCCGACGTGCCAGGGCACAGCAGAGAGGTGGGTGTCTCAGGACTGGTATGAAATGCCTCCTTTCCATGGTCCCAAATGTTCAGTTGGCTGGGGAGGCAGTGGGGATGGGTGACTGAGATGAGCTGAATCTGCTGACACACTGAGATTTTTCTTTTACTTTCTGGCAGTGAAAGAGCCCAGAGGTTCTTATCCTCAGTCAGCACCTCTTGGTGCCTTTCTAGGTACCAACCAGGCCATGTAGACCCCTGTAAGGCACTTCTCCTTTTCAAGACTCCAGCCTGAATATAAGCAGAGACTGTGAAAGTGATCATTACCTTTTACTTTCAGGCTCCAGACTATCCTATGACCCCTTCTCCGAGGCTGTCTATGAAGAGATTGATTATAACCTGATGAGGGAAAAGCAGGGTGTGACTTTCCTCTCAGGTCTGTGTGTCTTGCTTTTTTCTCAAGGAAAATATCCTCCTTTCTGATCCCAATCTGATAATTTGCAGCTCCCATATCTACTGGGGAATTTAAAATTCCTGGACTTGAGGAGTTTCCAGCCCAGTGGACTCTGTCAATTCATTTCCTAGGGTCAGTTTGTTTTGTGCAGTTCTCACTGCAGCCACAGACCATAGATCAGTATAGGTCAAACAAACAAACAAAAGCCTTTTGCTTAAATTATTTAAAGCTGGAACAAATAAAGGAATAATTACATCTCCCTCACAGCAGCTGGGTCCCTGTAGGTTTCCTTCTGTGGACTTTTTTTCCCATTGTAGCTTGCCTCCCCCATGATCTATGAGAGGTGTTATGGGGCCCCTGAGGGATTCTTGGTTATTCCACTGTAAGCCTTGCAGAAGTAATACTGACTGCCAAAGGGTATGCTGGACTTGGATGCTATTACTGTAGCCTGCTCTTTTTCTCATGGTGCAGTTTTAGCACTTAAGGAGAGATTAATCTTGGTATCATGCTCCTTCTCATTTGCCTAGATTCTTTTTCAGAGAGCTCAAAACCAAAGGAACAGTTTTATAGAGCAGACAGTGATGAAGAAAGTGGTGCTGGAGCAACTCAAGGTAATGTGAGAAAGGGTTTGTACAAAGAAAGAGATCCAAAATCAGGGTAACTTTTAATATCCAAAGCATTGTGAGTGATTAAGACTTTCATTTTACATCCTAGTGATGTTTCCTTGTGATGCAAAATCTGTGTAACTCTTGTGGTGGAAGACTGTCATACAATCTCATATACAAGTGCTACTTTTCTCTTCTATAAGAGAAATTCAAAAGAAATGTTTGCTGGTAGTTCTGCAGACATTTCACAGGCTCCAGTCACATGAATCCAACAATGTGACAGCTGCTTCTCCCAGACATTGCAATGGTAATACCTTGTAAACTGTTGCTTCATTTCTGAGACAAACGGGGAGAATTAAAACAGAGGAAAGACATATTACAGATACAAACACTGGTGTACAATTTGAGCTGATCAAGGGGTCTTAATCCGAGTGATCTGAAGAAAATATTGATTCCTAGCTGTGGGTTTGCCTGGGGGGTACATTTGGTTTGTTGGTGGGTTTGTTTTTGGTTTTTTTTTATAATTTGAAATAGTTGAGGGAGAGAGAGTGTTTGGATAAGAACTGAATTTTCCTAGAGTTGATCAAAAACCTCTGATAGCCATTGCCTGGTGTCCAAGAGATCTACTGCCAAAGGCACAAGCAGTTTTGGACCTCAGTTGCTCATATCCCAGACCCTGCTTCTGCACCATGACTTTATTTTCTACTGCTTTTCTTATATTAAGGACTTTTTTAAACTTAAAAAACAAATTAAAAGCTTTTCCTTACTTGTTTTGAAGTGCTTATAGAGAAGACAATTATTCTAAATAGTTTCTCTTTCTCTTATTCAGATTGAATATTGATTTCTAGGTAAAAAGTGAAAGAGGAGTGCTTTGATTTACTTTTCTGTTCATACATTTACTATTGGTAAGCATATGTATATACAATAAAACTGTGCACACTAACATTTGCTGAGGGATGAATTTCAGTTAAGTACAGACATGTCACTATTACAGCCCCGTGTTGCTAGATTATCAGCTACTACTTTCCCTAGTGGAAGTTAATACCTGTACTGTTCCAGAAGCCTCTCCACTGCCTGAAAATGCCCTGGAAGACGGTTATGATGATGCAATAGAAGCTCCTGGACCTAGAGATGCTTCTCTTTCTGAGCAGAATGAACAGGAAATCAGGATCCCTGGAGAAAGTGACAGAAACAAGGATTCCCGGACAGGTGAGGTTAGAAGAGCAGTGCTGTTCTGTTACATCCAGCTAATCTATACCTCTGCTCTGGTTTCCTAACAGCCATAAAATTCTTGCCTGTGGCCAACCCAACCTAAGTTTCCACTGCTGCAAATTAGAATGACCATGGGGACAGAGAGTTGCTGTCGTCTTTGTAACAGCCTTTTAAGTGCTTGAAGACTGATAACAGTTTGTTCACATACCTATCCTCAGTTCTGTTTTGTATTTTGTTTCTCTACACAACCACAACCTAAATTATTCAACTTCCTACTTAGGCCTTGAAGACTATACTCTGCCCATGATGTGTCTCCACTCAGTCCATGTCAGTAGGTCCATATCTTTCAAAAATTGCTTCAAACCCAGAAGTTTACGTTACTTCTTTACAGCATGGTACTGAGATCTTACTAGTGTCAGGTAGAGCAGAAGGACCAGTTCTTACAGCATATCCTCCTGTTTATGGATGTTAGTGTGATACTTCCCTTTTTTCCAATGACATGACGGTCTTGAGAGGGCTCAATGTTTGATGCATATTCAAATAGTGCTCTGTAAAATGCTACATATCATTAGACATGGCTTTTTCAAATTATGCAATTGACTCTTTCTCCCTTCATCTGTAGTCTCTTAAGTGTTCTTATTAGATCTCATTCTATGTCCATGGAGAATGGATTTGGCTAAGTATGTAACCTGTCACTAAACTTTGTCAGGCCCATATAATTCATTGTGAATTAACAACAAATATTTAAGACAGACTTTTCTTTATCAGTGCATTTAATACAACTGTGGAACAGCTGATCTGAACTCTACTCTTTGGAGTATCGATAAATATTTCTGGCCTATTGGAGATGTGGAAAAATAATGAAAATACAGGACTCAAAGTAACTAGAGAGACATTAGAGGTTTGTTTATGTTGTTGGGTTTTTTTGGGGGTTTTTTTGACAGCCCATGAATATATTCCTTTTAACATTGTGCATAAAGCTTGATCCTTGGATATGTATACACACTGCAGAAGGCAGAGGGACATAAGCATTTCTCAGGCCTTTCACAGCCACTCCTATCTGAGGTTCTAATTTCTGGAGGAGACAACCAGCCTCTGCACAACCACACAGAGGTAATACCTACAGGATGTGCATTTATCTATCTGTGTTCTTCCCTTCATGTTTGCAGACTGGATTCCCAGAAACAGGACCTCTGAGGCTGAGAGAACCTCATCCCCTGCTCCTGAAGATACAGGCTATGACGACATTGAAGAGCTGGGGCACTGATAGAGACTGCTGAGCTGTACTGACTTCTGGAAATACACCACTGCTCATAAAATGCTAATCCTGCACTAGCAGAACCAGAACAACCTACATTTAGGATTAGTTTGCATAAGTTTAGGTTATTTCCAGAGACAAGATTTCATACATAAAAGATAAATAAGCATGGCTGTTAAGAAAATCTTTCAAATTTCTCTTATAATTTCTTGTTGCTAAGACTTAGTGGACTTTTTTGATTTTATTTTTAAATACCTCCTTTTTTTTTTTTTTACTGCATTAAAATTATGATATTTTCTTATTAGAAACTGTCCAAAGATCTCAAATTTATGCTTTTCCTGTGGGGGTAGCTTCTGGGAATTATTTGGAATGGAGATTGAACTTCAAAAAAATAATCAAAATTCTGTTTTGGCCAAGTCTTTGAGACAGGAATTCTTGCTGATTGCTTCCACAGAAACCTCAACAATATCTGACTGGTGCTGCAGGCATGCTGTGAGGCACAGAAGGAGGGAAACACATACACCCATGGGATCTAACTGCATCATACAATCTACTTCTCCTGGCTAACCGGAAAACTGGGAACGTAGAAAGTTTTTGCAAGGAATAGTAAAAGGCAGCAGAAACTGACAATTCTATGCCAGAAAAAGGTGTAGCAAGCTATTTATCCCTGTCAGAACTATCTGCAGAGGACAGAACTTTTCTCCAGGTGCAGCAGGCAGTGACCAGGAAGAAGGAATCCCTGGGGACTCAGAGATGGCAACAATTGATGTCACAGGCATGATGCAGTTGAGCTGAGTGAACGGGGTATATAATCCTCATTGTGGTTAAGTGGACTGATATGGGGAATGTGTTAA